ATTGAGGGAGTTCGTGTTGTTGCATGCAGATGGCTGTTATTCCACGTCCTCCAGTGGGGCATGGATGGCTAAGACCTGCAATAGGAGTGGTGGAACTGTCTCAGAGTATTGTTCAGGTTAGTTTTTCTAGAGAGCCAGTACTCTTCTGAAAGATTATCACTAGTTTCTACATCTATTATGTGCAACTGTGCTTAACCGTCTTATCAGCATATTTGTTATCATTTTCTTCTCCTTTTCCCTATTCCAGAAGAATGCAAGAAAAGTAACTTAATTTCGTGATAACTTGTGGGATATCATCTTGTGTACCTTAACCATGATTTTGACTGCGATCATCCTCTTCTGGCTCTATGTTTGTATCTGCTAGTATTCAATCATATTATCTGAAGACATAATTATGGATACATATTCATATGGGCATCATTGCTTATTCTTGTTTAGCGTCAAATATTGTTGAGGTTCATGCATTAAGATAATAAGATAAATTTCTTGTCAGCATTCATTTTATTTCTCAGTTGTTTCGATGAGGATTTTATGCACAAAATTTGGACTTCTAACAGCTATTAGTTTGGGAGTTGGAGGCTGTTTCCATCCCTTTTAAAAAAGTTTAGGACCTAGGAAGTCCAATGAACTACTCAAATTCATTTACTTACATTGCTGGCATTGGTTTTCTTTCCTCCTCTCATTTCTAACGCACTTTACTGTTATTGATTCAGGCAGTACCTCTCAGCGCAAGGAAGGCAGCAGGTGCATCCAGTGAAGGGTATGCACCATTTTTGCAGCTGCCACACTTTAGCGAGGCTGTTGTTAAAAAGATAGCGAGAAAGGTTGCAATTATTGCTTTTCATCTCTTCCTCAAACTTTCTAATCACATCTGCCTCTTACTGAATGTTGGAACGGAGATTGTTGTTAATTATCTGTATTGGTGCTTCCAATGCGTCATCAGTCAGATGCTTGCTTTTGTATCTCTGATTGGTTCCTTGGTGGTGTTCGGGAAGTTTTTGCCATCTTATGGTTTTGAATTTTGGTTTAATTCAATAGTTGGAGGAAGGAAATTGTCTGTAGAGATCGAACTCGAACCCCCCACCCCCCAACCACCACACACACACACACATAGACTCACAAAAAAAGAATAAAGGAAATTTTCCCGTTGATGTCAGCAGGGTTGTACTATCCTTGTAATCCCGGCTCAAAAAGAGGTCTTGAGTAGAGACGATCCAAAATGTGTTGAGATTAAAAAAAGAATAAAACAGAAGACTTTGAGTGTTCGGGATGTTATTAACTTGATTTTCCATTACAGAGGATTGTTAGTTGTAGCTGCTTATCTGAACTTTTCTCTATACACAGTGTTCTTAAGATAGTACTTCGGTTTATCCAAATATTTTGTCTGCGATAATTTTTACACTCCAATAATATTTATCAGGAAAATTTAATTTCTACTTAATAATGGTTGAGTGTTTTGATTTATACACTTAGTTATACGGTGGTTACTTTCATGACTCCTTGATATCACGAAAGATGCTCTGCTTCTTTTTTGTGATCAAGTAGTGTTTCGTTAATTTTGAGTTTACGGTTACACTTTTAGCATGTTACAAATTTATTATACTTTCAATAGTTAAAGTTTGACATGTGCTTTGAGTGTGTCAGTGGCTAGTCTATGCAATGGATGCTTTCACTGTGAAGTCTTAATGGCATCTCTAATCAGTTTCTTCTTTCTTTATTTCCTTGTGAAATGTCTTGTGAAACTGGTGTGAACTTGATTCACATTTATGGAAGATGAAAATCATAATTTTATAAGGTCTTTTGGGATTACCTTGGAATATTTTCCGTTAGTGGTGTTTCTCTTGTAGTCATAGGAATATCGTGGACTGTCCTAATTAAAGAAATCAATATGTACATTGGTCATGCGGTTATCAGGTTAATTTATCCTGGAGTGTTAATTTTTCATGTTTCTATTCATACTGAAGCAACTTCTTTCTTTACCTGTGATGTAAATGGTGTGCAGCCTGCTTTTTCCCCCTTTCATGTGGCAGCATGCTTGTATTGATTAGAAAGTATTAACGCAGGCTTGCCAAGTGAAACCTTTTGTTTTGAATATCCCTAATACTTTCTTCTATGGACAGAAAGTTCGTACATTTCAAGACTTCCGTGACATGACACCGGATGAACGTGCTGATCTGCTGACTCAAGTTGCTGGGTTCTCCAATGGTGAATCCCACGATGTGGAGATGGTTCTTGAAATGATGCCTTCAGTGACAATTGATATCACATGTGAGACTGAAGGTGAGGAGGGAATTCAAGAGGGTGACATCGTTACCATGCATGCTTGGGTCACTCTTAACCGTGGTAGTGGCTTGATACGTGCCCTTCCACATTGTCCGTATTTTCCTTTTGACAAAGAGGAGAATTTCTGGCTGATGCTTGCGGACTCCTTTTCAAATGATGTGTGGCTCTCCCAGAAGGTTAGTTTCATGGATGAAGCTACATCGATAATTGCTGTATCGAAAACGATTCAGGAGTCAAAGGAAGGGTCTGGTGCAAGTGCAAGGGAAATAAATGTTGCCGTTAAAGAAGCAATTGAGAAAGTGAAAAATGGTTCAAGACTGGTAATGGGTAAGTTCCAAGCTCCAGCTGAAGGGAACTACAACTTGAGCTCTTTCTGCTTATGTGACTCTTGGATTGGTTGTGATGCAAAGTCGAATATAAAGTTAAAGGTTATGAAACGTAGCAGAGCTGGAACGAGAGGTGGTTTCGCAGCAGATGAGACTCCTGCCATGGAGGATGGAATTGAGGAGGACGAGGAAGAAGAAGAAGAAGATTTCGATGATTATGAAAGTGAATACAGCGAAGATGAAGAAGATACAAAGGAAACAAAGAGTAAAGGAGCTGTTGCCAACGGCACTGCCCATAACAAGGGCAACAGTTCAGGCTCTGATGAATCTGGTTCAGAAGCCGACTAACTTCCTTTCTTGGGTAGTTGTTTGTTCTCCCAATTTCCCCGTTCACACGATGTTCCAATTCCCAGGGGAGAAGAGAAGACGAAGCCAGTGAGAAAACATCCTCTCACTCCAAATGTTTGGGGAGCTGGGGTCGTGGAGAGAGGCAGGTAAGAAAAGAGTATTTAATAGTTTTTTTTTTCTTTCCTTTTACATACTTTGGACCATCTTTCTACCGTTGATATACTTAGAACAGTTAATACTGTAATTTGACATGAATAATAGCATTGTACTCTTCATAGAGCTTAAATTAGTCCTTTTTGGTCCGACTATAGATGGTTCTTGTCGTTATGACATTCATTTTTGCCTTGTTTGTACCTCAAATTCTTTATCCCCTCCCAAAAAGAATTGTCAATTGAAGGCAATCTTCTACCTCACTTTCTGTGGTTAAAACTTCAATCCACAAATGACATCTATGGCTTCTATTTAAATGCATCAATAGTCAATTTACAGGTTTGCACTTACTAGTCAATCAATTCGTTTTTTTTTTTTTTGCTTATTATCACATGCTTAAGCTATCTATATGTTTATATAGTATGTGTCAAGAACAAAGGCTGTCAAGGATTTACTTTGATTTGAATGTAAACTAAAATAAGTGGGTTTTTCACTCACATTTTTCTTACTTTGGTCTCGTTGTCTCACTAGCGATATTGCGTTGGTGTTCAATGTACTGCTTTAATAAACTGGCTGGGTATATCTGCTAAAAAAAAGAAAATATCAGAAGGTTCCTTTTATCGGCTTAAAAGTTGGTTAAATTTACTTCTAAGTCATTTTTAGCTTTTGAGAGTGTTTGGAAATGTTAAAAATAACTTTGAAATGATTTTAAAAAAGTTAAGAAATCAAAAGTAGGATTCTCTACTTTTTAATTTTTTGACTTAAAAATCATTTAAGTTGGATTATTTATTTATTTTTTGATTTAAAAGTTATTTTTTTAAGTCAATTTAAACCGACTCTAAGAATGTTAGTATAATAGTTCAGCACACTGAAATGCAAAAATAAAATAAAAGCAACGCCAAGTCATAGTGACAACTAGGTCGTTTGGATTTCATGATAAATGGAGTTCGACAATAATTTCTCAAAATATTCATGATACACATCGAAAGCTTTAATATACTGAAATTCTCATTTTAGGACCCCAAAATTCAAAAAAAATAATTATTATCTTAAAATATCCATGAGCTAATACACATCGAAAACTCTGATATACCCCAAAATGGCGAAAAAAGTTACGCTAGTCAAAGAGAAGCCTCGGTAGTTTGTGATGGACCCTTTGAATTTAAAATAAAAAAAGGTTCAGCAACAATTCCATAAAATATTCATCTAATACACAGAAAAAAAAAACTTCTATAATTATGAATTCGTGTTTCAAAGGCCCAAAACCCGCAAAAAAAAGAAAAAGAAGCAAATTTAATCATGGCGAAATCTAGACCCTCCTAATTTTAGAAAACTCATGTGTTAATACGTATCGAAGATTTTAATAATCATGGATTCATGTTTCAAGACCCTGAAAAGTGAAAAAATAAATAAAAGATACACCAATCATGGAAAAGAATAATCATTTTTCTTTTTGACACAATCAAGCTAAAATAGAGCATACTATCTAGACTTTGCAGAAGTTAACTGATCCCGTGTTAGCATCCCGAGGAGTATGATGTGACAACCTATCTTAATGCAAGTATTAATGGTTGCTTCTAAATCCCCCTAACTTTTAGGTCATACTAAGACCACTTTACTGTTGTTCAACGACTCCCCTTCAATTGAGTCTTAGTTTAAATTGAACTTAAAACATTACCAATTTCAAAAAAAAAAAAACTTCATATATTTAAGCGTAGAAATGAAGATCTTCCGTATACGTATACGAGTATAGTATACCAAAAAGTAGAGAATCTACAATATAATATGATTCTCTATTGAATCTCTGACCTGCATTCAACAAAAGTCTAGCCAAATAATCATCAATAAAAGATTAAACACACACACACAGCAAATATAACTGGTGCTAGAGACTTTGGTAGCTGGTCCAAAAGTCACCTTTATTTTTGCAATTTAATTTGATTATTGGGTCAATAACATACAAAAAACATAATCTACTTCACCAAATGGTCAGTATCCCTTACAATTTCCAGTGAAGGAAGCACTATTGCAGCCACTGGCTGATCTTCAAATCCACCACCTTGATCTATTATCAGTCTGAGGCCTTCAATATGTAATTTTGCATGGTGGCCACTTACGATAATCGTTGGAGTTTTAGTCAGTTCCTATTAACAAAATAATGCAACAACAATCAAATTTAGTTGGAGAATCGGTTTAGCATGATCTTCTTAGAAAGCATAGGACATGATATAATGAATAGCGTCAAACTATGTTGCTCAGACTCTTCAAAATGTTGTTGCACCTGTATCGGATACTTTTGGAGGATATGACATGCACCAATGGAACTTTTGAAGAGTCCATGCAACATAGACTAGCAGTCACAATGAAAATTTTGTAAATGAAGCACTAAAGAGAAGTGACCTGAGGGATTTCCCATACGTCCTTCCTTCCACTAAGGGGGGCAACTTTAGGAATCCTCGTGTCCTTTGCTTTCAAGGTTTTAATCTGCTGTTCAACAGGTTTGTTTTTCTCCAAGCCAGCATGAACAGCAATTAGTTTGCACCTTTTAATTCCTTCCTCAGTTTTTATGGTAACATCGTCCTAGAAAGCAAAAGAACGAGACAAACTTTTTAAATCTTGAATCCTGCTAGAGTTGCATGTTGGCTATGCAATGACATGATCAATATAAGAGCACTCTTGAGTTCATTTATAAAGCACAAATCAAACTTAAAGCATCTTTTCTAGATAAGCACTTTACTTAAAGTTCCCGTGGAAAAGTGAAGGAGCGGATCAAATGAAGAAAAAAGTTGAAAACGGAAGAGTGATAAAGGCAAAAGAGCATTACCTCTTCGTGGATCCAAACCAAATTGGCAAGGAATTTCTTGTGCTCATCAGTAACTACCTTCATAAGATCTGTAAAGAGTAAAACCTTACTGTTAACAGAAGGATTATAAAGTGATTACGTAATATTGCAATAGGCAGAATTAAGGATTCTCATAGTTTTCTTTATAACAGGTAATATAACATGGAGCAACTTCAGTTTACCAATGACATGACCTTAGATAGGAGTTTATGGAAGACACGGATTAGGGTATAAGGTTAGTAGGTAGTCTCATACTCTCACTTATCCTTTCATACTAGTAGTCGTAGTATTACTCTTGTAGGTTTTTGTTCCTTTGATTTCTATTACTATATATTTCCCCTTGTAATTCGTTTATCATATTATTTTGTTGTAGTTACTGTTCCTTATTTAGTATGCTTTGTCATGTCTTGTGTAGTATTTTGTTTTGGTTTCTTCACTCCTATTATTTTCGTGAGCGGAGGGTCTAACAGAAACAGCCTCTCCACCTTCCAAGGTAGGGGTGAGGTCTGCATACACACTACCCTCACGGGAAGTCCCCATGTGGGACTAAACTGGGTATGTTGTTGTAATAGAACTAAAGAATGGACTATCAGCAAAAGTTCTCCGGAGGTCCACCCAACGCCATATGAAAAAAGGGACAATCTTGAGCATGACAGGAAGGAACAACACCTATATTAGATGAGCATTCCTACTCAAAAAGAGCTGCATTTCACACTACACCCCTATTTTTTAATTGGAGGAAAACAAAAAATTACTACACATTTCTTTCTGATATTAACTATAGAACACATTACAATGATAGACAAGAGAAACCAAACAAAACGTGAACTAAACTGAGTGATCACCGCACCCAAGGGTGTGGCCAAGTGTTCAATGAAGTGGGCTGAGCACCATGAGGTCTCAGGTTCAAATCCCAGTAAAGACAAAACATTAGGTGATTTCTTCCCATCTATTCTAGCATTGGTCGACAGAGTTATCCGCCTTGGTGGATAGAGTTATGCAGTACCTATTGCTAGTGGGAGGTGGCAGGTATCCCATGGAATTAGTTGAGGTGCGTGAAAGCTAGCCCGGACACCACAATTATCAAAAAAATTGAGTGATCACCACCCAAATTGGAGTAGGTGATCCAACAAGGAATCATTACAAATAATCCGCTGAAACAAAATCAGAAAAGCACATTATGATAGTCAATCAATCAAGAACTGACATATGCTGCAATCCCAACTTAGATAGAGTCAGTCATATGAATCCTATGTATTAATTGTGCTCAACAAAAACTCATTTCATTCCTGATACTAGATGATTTGTATTTTAAAGTAAATTAATAGTTCTCCGAAATTAAAGGGTTTCTAAATCTCACACTTATTTCTAGATGGACATATAAGCGTAACTATAATAAGAACTAAGAAGCCACCCAGAAAATATCAAACCTAATGTAAGTGCAATAATAGCTAAGTCTTAATCTAGCTAATTGATAATGCTCCACGTATCTAGTCTTAGCTAAATCCATTTATTCAAGATATGTCTTTGAGACAACTTCCTTTATGTGATTATAGGTCCACCTCATTCCCTCTTATCACCTTCAGTTATTATAGAGTCGTACCTTACAGACTGGTGCATATGTAGAATATGGTCAAACAATCTTAGGATATCTTTTTTCTCATTTATAATCTATTTGTGTTGCTTGCACCCTTGTTAGAGGGCTTGCCCAATCTCATATCCTTCTTAACAGTTGCATTTTGCAACATCTGTTTTGTAGATATGGTGGGCTACAGAGTCCCAACATTCCATATAAAATATTGTCTTCACAAGCATTCTATAGACATTGCCTTCCACTTTGTTAGTTATCTTCCGATCACATAACACTTGCATAAAACTATTCCATTTCAACCATCCAATTGTAGCTCAATGGGTTACATTTTTGTCTATCATGTCATTCTCCTGGAAGATTGAGCTTAGATTTTTGAATTGTCTTTGTTTATGCACCACAATCCTGCTAGTCTCACCTCACCTTTGTTCTTCTTATAAAACTACCATGCGCATAGTTCTTCTTGGTTCTACTTATTCTAAAGCTTACTCTGTCTTACTTTGACTTATCCTAAAACCCTTACTCTTTATAGTACTTCTAAGCAGTTTCAACTTCTGAATGATTCCCTCGTTATATTCTCAATTAATACAATATAAATAACAAATAGCTTGTATCCTGGGGCATCATCCTGTATATTATGGTACTACCCCATCCATAAGTAGGGTAAACAAGTACTACGTAATTAGGAACCATAATATGAGGATCCATAAGTAAAGTAAACGAGTATTTAATTAGGACTTGGGGAGAGGGTGGGGGGGGGGATAGTGCATCACACCCATGACAAAAGATAAGCCATTGACAAAACGAACCAAAGCACCGGTACAAAAGCTCAACTTACAATCAGCTAAAAAAGAATGATCCGGGATCCTATCATTACATGACACAGTCATCAAACGAAACATATCCAATACACAAGACCAGAAAATGAAAAATAAAGATAAACCATTTTCAGACCTAGTAAGTTAAACAATAATTCCAATTGGAAAACTCCCGTGTTAGATTTAGTAAGTTGAACAATATCATTTGCAAATAGCATGTACATTGGAACCTCATCAGCATACTATTGGTACTACACCGGCCCATAATTCATAATATGAACTTAGGAACCATAATATGAGGGGAAACGTGCATCACGCCCAAGACTAAAGACAAGCCAGTGATAAATGGTATCACTCCGAAGCACTAATACAAATGATCAACTTACCATCAGCTAAAAAAGTGATCCAAAATCACCTTCATTCTCTCAAAATTAGAACAGGAGTCCAAAGTTAACCATCTGCTAGGAAGGAAAAAGCAGAAATAACACCTAATTTTCGAACTCTTGTTGTCCAGGACAGAACTAGCAACCCATTCAACAGACAAAAACCAACAACAACAACAACATACCAAGTGTAATCCCACAAGTGGGGTCTAAAGAGGATAGAGTGGCTATTTCCAATAGACCCTCAGCTTACAAAGCATAGCAAAACAATTTGAAAAAGAGAATACAGAGAAAAAAGCAGTAACAACAACTAAATAATGTGAAAAGGAGAGTAGTACACAACATACAGCAGAAAGAACAATAGCGACAATCATATGACGCGATAACCGAAGCACAAAATAGCACAGGTGATAATCGAATCAAAGGACTAGGAATTATGAGAATAGTGCTAATACTATTGGTAAGCAAGTAAGTACATGTACGACCACCAATCCTATCCCGTAAAAAAGTGAGAGAACTCTCAACTACCGACTAACGTTCTATCCTAATCAGCGGTGACCACCAAACCCTCCTATCTAAGGTAATGTCCTCCGTTAGCACCAGATGCGAGAAAACGCTCAACTACCAACTAAGCTTCTATCCTAATCAGCAACCAACAAAAGATAATAATTAAGGAATCATACCAGCAGAACCATGGGGAACACCATAAGACTCAAAAGTAGGAGCAGCATCATAAATAGATCCTTTATAATCAATACCCTTTACAGCATTAAACTTAACAGTATGATTCCCAGCCCATCTCCTCCCTTGCAAATGCATATTCTCAAAGCTTTCACCTTTATACCACCCTTCTCTTTCCTCATTCATCTCATACTCTTTCCATGTCTCACAAAATTCAGACCCATCAGGTGGACTTGGAAGTACACCCAAGAATGCCCCAAATGCAAAATCATGATTCCCACAAAGAAAAACATGGGATTGTTTTGGGTATTTTGAGGGTAAAGCAATGAGAAAGTCTAAAACTTTACTAGTTTCTGGACCTCTATCACAGTAATCACCCAAGAAAATGACAAGGGCAGTCTCAAAATCAGATGGGTTAATGCAAGATTCAAGATTTGACCATAGATTTTGGAGTTTTGTTGTGTAGCCATGGATATCACCTATACAACAGACCACCCTGGGTTTTGTGGGGGGTGGGTTATTGTCCTCCATTGTTTTGATGTTTTTGTGTTTATAAAAATGGGAGGATGGAGATGCTTGATTAATTTTTTCACTGATTTTTTTTGGTTGAATTTGCTATATTTTACAAATTTAGAGGACTAAAATTGCTTAGGCAATACTTAAGGGACTATTGTGAACGTACAACCAAAAACTAAGTACCATTTTTGCCATTTTCTCAAAAAATATAGCATATGCTAAATGCAAATTCATCGGTGAAAAAAATTCAAATCAAATTATCCGGAGTGCCATTTGACTTATTTTTTAAATCAAAAGAGAGAATGTACACCCTACACCGTCAAATGTTTTTTTGATAACAATTTATGATTATTCAGTTAAAAAATACAAATACAAAATATGCGAGTCGGTCCGTATCACTAGTTGAAAGTTGAAACTGTCTCAAACAGAAGCATGAATGTATTAGTCTATAATTGATGATAATGCATGAAAGTTCCTAGTCAACTCAATAAGTTGGTAAAAATTGAAGGGACACTCACACCATCCACCTCCTAGTAACAAATTAATTTTTAAAAAGGGGGTTAAATTTAACAAAATGTTTTCATATTGTTACAATGTATAAAGTAAAAATAATTTGATATAACCAATACAAATAATTCAACCATAATCATGAATTCTTTCAAGCAAAGCATAGGAAATGTTAGAGAAAATGGAGATGATGCAAAAACAAAAAGGCAAAGTGCATGAAGAATAATTAAATTTGGAAAGAAAAAAGAGAGAGAAAAAGAACTCTTACCATTGTCATTTACCAAAGTTGCAAACAATACAACAACGACAAATCCAATATAATCCCATAGGAATGATCTTGGGAGATATGTAAGCAAACTTTACCCCTAAGGTAAAGATATTGTTTCTCATAGACCGTCGATCAAGGAAAACAATTAAAAACAATTATAGAAAAAATAAATTATTAAAGTTCATGACAAATATTAGGGAAAACATTAGATAGCATTCTGAAAGAAAGGAACACTAACAACAAAGTTACTAACAATATGTTCAGAAAATCCACAAGTTCACAGGAAACCATAACTTGTACACTTCTGCTTCCACAGATACATGTTTGGACTAACTTGGCATGTAATATTACATGCTCTTAAAGAACGGTTTATGCAAGCAATCACTCAGATTATCTTACTCTTGTAGTATTTCAAGTTTTCTTCCACTCGAGCAGCATCCGAATCAGCTAGCTCCTTCAACTCCTTCAGGGATTGATACTCAGCTTCCACTTTATCAAGAACACTAGACTTCTTAAAGCACCTCTTCGCCAAACTCAGTTTTTGCTCCTCGATTGCTTTGATCTTTGTCTGTGCATCCTTCATTTTTGCCACCAGCTTGCTGATTTGGATGTCAAGCGTGCCCCTGCAGTCTTTTAGGTCAGTATAGAGTTCCTGATCTTTTATGAGCGCGTCAACGAGGCGCGTTTTCTTGGCAGCCTTGCTAAAATACTCCTCTTTGTCCTTCTCAGCTCTACGCAACGTCAAGGCAAAGTGCGGAAGGTTCTCTTTGAGTTTCTCCAAGGCAAGCACTCTCTCAGCTGATACATCTGGTGCTGCAGCATATATTGATAGTGCTGCACTTAATGCTAAACAGTTTTCTGGTAGAAGCATGTTTTGAGAAGGCATATTTAGTACTCTCTCGATATCACCTTTCGCTGTGGCAAGCATCTCCGCCGATGGTGTAGGCTTCTGCGTGGCGGATATCTTGTCATTAGAAGATTGATCAGCAGAAAAACCGAGAGATTGAGCTCGTTTAATTTGTCCACTAACTCGAGCAAAGAAGTCTTCAAGATTTTCAACTTTTATAGGGCAGTCGGGTGTTTCAACAGCATCAGATGTCTTGCTTCTGGTATTAGCTAATGATGGGGAAACTGTGCCTTCCACACCCTCCTGAAAGAAAAATCTCTCAAAATGATGGGGTGATCAAACATAATGACACGAGTAATAAGGGATAACATACTTTGTCAAAAGTGGAGATTGGTGCATCATCAGAAGCAACCTGATTCTCTGCTCTAGTCTTGTCTTCATTAGCAGGAGTAGAAGTTGTGCCTTTTGGCAGCATTTTCATTGTGCAAGTCTTCCCATTCTGAAAAGTCGAGCAATGGTGAAGTGAAGGAATCAGGCTAATTGATCCTGTTATAATCTCAGAGGGTCGTTTGAGGGATGGGAATTTTTACCAAGCATAATGTTCTCATACATATCTTTTCACTTACCTCATGCGAGTTCATTTGTTGTACGCGCTTATCTTGCCGTGCCAAAGATTGCGACGGAATACTTTCCCCTGAAAGAAATTAAGGCATGAATAAGGAGCAATACAAGACATCAAAATCAGAAACAGAAACCAGACGGAAAGGACAAGTATCAGAGAGAACATTGAAAGCGATCACAAAATCCAATGCAAAGGTATATGAAAGAATCACAGAGAACATTGAAAGCTATCACAAAATCCAATGCAATGGTATATGCAATAATCACCAATGAGCCAAACTCATTTTGACAGCTCTATCTAGGAATATACCAGCAAAATAGAAATCTTATAATTTGTTCCATCAAGAAGGATATCATACCTTCATATCCCCTCTTCATATTCTGGCCAAATGTTCTTCTAGCAGATAGTAAGCACCTCAGGGAAAAACCTGCAGATTTGAACACGTAATTTGACTTCTTTAAACTATTAAAATCACTATATTCTAGGTAAAAGCAAGGAAACATATGCTGAAAGCTGTTTAACCAAGACTGAATTCAATCATCTACTCACAAATTTGAATACCTCATAATCTGTTCTCACATTAATCAATCTACTATATTGTATGCTTTCAAACAAGTTCCTTGTTATTGGTTGTTGCTCTAAACCAGTGTTTTAAAAGGCAGGGGGGTGAGGCGGGACGTTTTATACCGTACGGGGCGAGGCGTAAGCCCCGAGACACGGGGAGTAAATCCCATGGATCTATGGGGCGTAGTCTCATGTATATTCAATTTTATAGTTTTATTACTAATAAAATAAGCAAAAGTGAACCTTTCAATGATTTTACAAATAAATTTTTATAAATAACCTATAATATATAGAAACTATATTTATTTGAGATAAGTATTAATAATCAATAATGAATAAAAAAAGTATTATAATTACTATTTGAGAAATATCATTACACCAATAATAAAAAATATGATTTAAAGCAAAAAAGGTTAAAAAAAAATTTAAAAATGCCTGGGTACGTTTTTTACGCCCAAGACTTACGTTTTTATGCTCGAGGCTTACGCCTCAAATTTTAGAACTTACGCCTTATGGATCTATGTCTTTAATTTACGCCCAGGAGCATTTATGGTACGCCCCGCCCCGAGACTCGCCCCAAAAACGTTTTTGAAAACACTGCTCTAAACCATTTGTATAATCCTGAAACTTAGTAGGAGATATATGAATTCAGCCCGGTTACTTCATTTCTCTAGGAATCTCCATCCATTTAATTCTTATTAAAAGGCTACTCCACTGTCCCAAATGCATCTAGAAATGTGGACACTCAAGGTTGGAACATCATTTTCAGAAGACAAGTCAATGACTCGGAAGTACAAAAAGTGGTTGATTTCTTTAGCACACTTAAGCAGTTTAGTGGGCTAGAAATAGGGGAAGATGTTTTTGGTGGTTAGGCAACAACAAAGGATTATTCAAGGCTAATACAACTTACAAAATGATTAATCTGCCTAATCAACGAATAGCTAATTGTCCATGGAAACAAATCTAAAAACAAAAATACCACACTAATGGAGAGTACTATTAGAAGAAGAATAAAAGAGAAAAAACAACTTACCCCGATGAGTGAGTAGAAGCTTCTTTAGGGTTTACCTCACAAATAAAATTGCTTGTGAGCACTTTTTCATGGTATATATATTCAAAAGTGACGAAAATGGGCCGGGCCCAGCAAGCACGATCCGGATATAGTCATCCTCCAATGCGGGTATCCAACATCAAGTTTCTCTTCATTAAATTGTGCTAAAAAATAAATTGTACATATTTGTAATATTTTCACTTCTACATCCCAACTTGTTGAAGCTACCAAAATCTATTGATATTTTCCTAAACCGAAACCATTATTGAATGCAAGACACATATCTTGTATTACTTAATTAGGTGTAAACATCAAGTGCAGTTTTTACCTTCTTTGTAGTATGCCTAACATGCTTTTTCTTTTTTACTTTCCTTATACCAAAGCAAATACTAAAGAAAGTAACCACCTTCTTACTTATGAACTTACACGTGTTCCAACGTCACATCAATAAACTTATCTTTAAGTACCACATAGAACAATGAATTATTATTTTTAAATGAATTTTCTATCAAAGATTAATAATTTAAATGTATACTATATATATGGGGCAATTTTCCAACAAATTTGACCAAAAAGATTTGTGAACAAATAAGAATCTAAGAAAAACAATTAAAGGGATACTAAATTAAATGTTGATACGCTCTTTCCTTTTATTTTTTTTTAAAACCAATAATTTGAATAGTTGTTCCTGCTAGAAAGTGGAATAATAGTATCAGGATTAGTTATCCCAGGATAAAATACTCTTTTTGACAAAGGTAACAATTTTGTATATAAATCTTCAACACTAAGGCAAGGATCCCACCCAAGAATTTACATCACAGAGCTACATACAAAGGTGTAGGCTCAACAATCCAAAAAAGAAAAGCTATCTCTAGGTCTTGTTTCATCTTACAAGGATCCTAAGATGTCTACAGCTGCTATAGGATCATCTATATACTCCAAACAATACCAATAGCAAAAAGTGATAAAACAATTCATTTCACTTTCAAAACATCTTGAATTTCTCTCCTTCCAAATGGTCCACCATATCACTATTAGGACAATTCTCCATATGTTTTTGTCTATGCCACCACTCCATCTCATTGTTCTAGCTTACTAGAGCCTGCTCTGCCCTTTCAGGCATAGTCCACCTTATGCCTCTGAAACTAGTAAACAGGTTCCATAGTTGGCTAACCACTT